TTGAAAACAATTCTCAAAGTGATTTTGATTCTAGTGATGAGACTAGCAGTCACATCTTATTACATCCTAAGAAAAGAAAAGTTATGCCTATAAAATCTTCAAGTGAAGAAGAAAATGATGTAGAAATAGAAAATGTGTTTATATTCTGTATAAAGCTGATTGTAAACATAACAACAGTAAACCAATGTTTCGTATAAAGTTTATTCGGAAATTAGTTATGTCACTAATTGGGAATTTACGTGAAGGTAAAACTGCGCGATATGGAACGCCATCAACAACAGACAATGAGGAGAGATTAGATGGAAAACTACATATCCTCCGACTTGATGCTAAAGGAAAACATAATGACTGTTTAGTATGTTCTAATCGTAAGTTGCCTGGAGGAAGAAAAACAACAGTATACTTCTGTGAAACGTGCAACAGAAAACCATTCCTTCATGTTGGAGATTGTTTCAAAAAATATCATACATTAAAAACTTATAAATAATTATTTGAAACTCATATATTTGTAATACTCCTTCAAAAAATAAATAATTTCTAACAAAAATGTTATTCTTATAATACTGAAAATTTTTCGCATATTTACCGAAACCAGCTACAACCTAGTGAGAATCACACATAAAAAGCTAGCGTCCGATAAGGGTTAATACGTTGAGTGCCGCGTAGGCTATCGCTGGCTCACATTGAACTTTCTATTTAAGCTGCATGTATAATTTATGTTATCTCTTCCCTTTATAATAATAATTTTTGTAGTCTTATAAATATTATAAGATATATTCTATATAAGGATATATATTGGAAATATATAATACGATAATCGTGAATTATCAGTGACTTACGCAGCGTGAATTGAAAGTCATGTGAATTGGCGCAGCACTCAACATGTTAATATATATACAAATGTGACATCACCTTATATCACGTATATGCATTGTATACTGAAATAGGAGAGAAAGAAAATCTTGGTATACTCGTACTCGTCTTATTAGATATATGATTAAAAAAAAAATTTATCGTTTTTGTAAAACACAAATTATGAATGACAGCTACACACATAAACAGGATGTGTATACTTGAATTATACAACAGGCGTATGACTTTTCTGTCTTGACAAGATATAAGTCAGATTATATTTTTTTCTGATTAATCGACAGATTGATAAATACAGTGTTTGCGATCTAGATGATTATATATACGCGTTATTTGGGAAATATGAGAATTTGAAGATAGTCTTTAATTTGACAAGATATGTCACATATGAGAACGGCAGTAGAATTGAAAAAAAAATTACAATAGCCGTTAGCCATGTTTTGTGTACGATTTCTTTAGTGAACATTGTTAAAAGAAAGAACGCGCAGAATATAATTCTGTAACTTCAGAATTGCATGATACCTCCCCTTTAAGCAAATATCTCTGATAATTGTTACTATAAATTATGCATACTGATCGGTGGATATTTATTATACTGCATGTCAATAAGCGATATTTACACACATTAAATGCTGGCACAGATGCGTTTAAATGTATTGCACAAGAAGAATCAACAGACGTTTGACATGAAAATAGAGCGAAATTTCAGGAATTGATATTTCAATAATGCGAATGTGCAAGAGAGTAAAAAAAGAAAAGAAATTATATCTCACTCATGAAAGAAGATCACCATGGTACACAGATACATAGCACACAATGTATGAACTTGTCGAAAGAACAGCATATCGGACCTTTGACATTAACGGAGTGTGTATGTGTGCCTTATACTCTGTCCAATAAATTATAACTAAGCCGTACACATATTTGAATATATTCCAAATAATGATGTGCTTAAAAATGTATCTGTGCCATGCCGCAACTCCATATTTAATAGGCTCATTATCGTTTCTTCAGAAATTTTATTTCTCGATATTTACAATTTTTCTTTCGCTTACTTATAGCTTTTAGTATTGTTTTTTCCATATATATTACAGAATAAACTACATTTTTTTTTTACTTTTTATTAGATTACAATTATATGTGTATATATACATATATTTATGTGTATATATATAGTATATGTATCGCCTTGTTTTATACGAACAAGTATGCCGACGTATTATTATTCATAAGCCGATTATCGTTGGCATAATATAATCGTGTGAAAATGATATTTCTGATCGAAGTTAATTTCGACGATGATGATACATATAGATGAGACGCATTGATCATCATCATGGAGATGTTACATTTTGCACGAAAGAGTCACTGCGGTTCTTATAAAGATCAGAATCGCTGCCGTCTCTTTCTTCATTTCTCATGATACTTTGACGCCCACGTTTCTCTCTCCCCTCACTTATAATCACACTTATCTTTGCCGTGAACGCAAAGTATATTATCAACGGCTTGATAATTCCTGTGCTCTGACCAACGATGAATCGGTCTGTTCTACAGGATTACAATGGACTATAATGGAGCACACATATCCACGTTTCGCTCTGTCCTCGTGTCAAACGAATCTGTCGATCCAAGCGTCGTCGGCGTTTACGACACCCGAAATAACAACGTCCTCGGCCATCAGCGACCACCAGTACTCTGGTGGTACCAGCACGACTGGTTCCAGTTGCGCCCTGACCAACTATTCGAATTCCGCCCACGCTGGGGGGGGGACGCTGCAGCACCCGTCGTCGTCGGGCAGCAGCGGCGGCGGGCCCTCGCCGTCGGCGCAGTGCCCGAGCAACTGCCAGAGCCCCTGCGCCAGCCCGCAGACCGCGATGAAGAGGAAGCGCTCGACCAATCCGCAGGCGGACGAGAACTTCATACGCGCCCTCGACGCCGTGCGTTACGGCGGCATCGGCTTCTGCAAGGCCGCGCGGATGTACGGTGTGAACAACCGGACGCTCTGGCTCGAGTACAAGAAGCGGGGCTACCCGAACAATCGGCCTAGCCTCAAGTCCCGCGTCAAGCAGGAGGTGAACTCGTCGCCGCCGCCGGCGGCGCCCCCGGCCCAGCCCATCAACTCGCAGAGTCCGACGCCTATGGGCCCGCCCACCACTCCGCACAGCACGCACAACACGCACAGCACGCACACCATGCTGACCAGCCACAGTCCCCACACGATGCTGAGCGGCTACATCGACAGCAGGCACACGGACTATGCGTTACCGAGCACCACGATGCCGATCAATTTGCACGGCGTCAATTACAACACCATGTGAACTGAGCCCTACCCGGAAAGTCACTTGTATAGACGAGCTTGAGAAGTATTACTTTCCTCCCTCCTTTTTTATCCGTGCGATCCTTTCTGCGCGTCACGCTCGTAGACTCCCGGGTATTTCCATCTCGAGTCGATCATAGCTCGTGTGTTTTGTATATTGTACAGGATCTCTTTCCCTCCTCCCCTCCGGCGACTATTTTGTATGTATGTGCGTGCGTGCGTGCGTGCGTGCGTGCGTGCGTGCGTGCGTAACTCAACTTTGTTTCTCATCGCGGAGAATTATAGCTAGTTTGTGTAACTGCGAGATTCTTTTATCACGTGTATAGATCGACTTGAAGAAACGAACTGTCAGATCTTGGAAACGGTCTGATGACTGGATTGCTGGATTAAATGGACGATGGGCAAAATGGGCCGAATGGATATACAAAGCTGTTGAATAGCTACTGTTGTAAATTATTATTGTTGAACTTTACGAAAACGTATTTATTCGTGTTTTTTTATTATTGGCAAAATATGATAATATGAGAATCTTAATAAGAGAGCGACGTTGCTATGATAATTTGGTATTTTCATTATACCCGATTTTTTCTAAGATTTGTCTAAACGTTCAATGTTTATTAGACATTTTTCGGAATGGTGGTAGTGAAAGTGATTTCGAACAATTGCTTCTATTTATTTCTTTGAAGGTCAGAAGAATCAGATTTAGCAGCTCCAATGTACAAAGAAACATATCGTTTTTATTTATCCACACCGAGGGCGGCTTGCTTTACTCATTGTCCTTTCTCTTCGGAAAGAATCGCTTTCAAATTTCTCGAGTCACTTGCTTATTATTTATTACTATTATTATTATTATTATTATTATTAGATTAGGTATACAGGAAACGATTTATGTAATTGTACAAAGTGTCGTGTTTGTAATATAGAGAAAATTGCACGGCCTTTGATACAGCCTTTAAGTTAAACTTGTCCTATATTATTTTATTTAAAAATGTTTCGTTTTCTCGCCGCGACCGTCTTCGGAGGCGAAAAAACATACGATCAAAATTATTGCGGAATGTTTTGAGATAAAGGGACATCCATAAAGTAACACTATGCCTTCGATTAAATATATTTGTAAAATATTCCGAATACTTTCGTTTTGTTTTTTAATAAACAACCGTAAAATTAACGTGATATTCAACCTTTCTTTTTAACCTACTTCTTCTTATACTATTATTCACGTTAATTTTACGGCTTTTATGTTTATTTTGCATTTTCTCGCTTTTAATGTCATCAAATAAAGACGATTGCGACGAGGGACCAGGAGCCTTGAATTAACAAGGAGATGATGCGAATCTCCGAAATCGATTTCCGGACGAATCATAGCTTATTCGACAGTTTATATATAGAACATAAAAACCCTAAAGAGATTTAAATAAATAGACTTTTGTTTATAAGAAATCACAAAATAAAGTTGGGCACACAGCTGTGCCGACATAAGGCGAAACTTCTCAGATACGATGTTTCAGTGACAACGAGTGTTAAATTTATCCTCGTATCGGCATAGCTTCCAACTTTGCATCGCAATTTCTCGTAAACAAAGGCCCATTCGTTCAAATCCCCTCTTGGATTTTTACGTTCCATAAAAGCTATCGAACGATCGTATGACTTGTCGGGGAATCGATTTCGGAGTTCGCGTCATTTCCTCGTAAGTTTTTTTTTTCGTTTTGTAGAAACATACTTCTTTTTGATTCGCAATTTTGTGACTCAAGCTAAACGGTATCTATAATTTGATAAATAAGAGCAGACTTGTGTTGATTTGGTCATCGGTGATTGTATACACACATAACGATCTCGATATTGATGCGTTGGCGCACGCTCTCTCTCGTTAGCGATTTTCCCAGATATTCACGAGAATATTGATAGAGTTGCGTTTAGTTCTTTTTTTTCTCTCTCTCGCTTACGTATTGTCACAGCCATCTCGTTAGCGCAGATTATCATCTAGAATTGGTGCAATTACAGTGCTCCCTGACGACGATGACGACGACGACGATAAAAAAATGTCGGGGTTACTGATAAATAGCGATACTGTACCGTTGTACCGATTGTAGCTTGTCGTATAATTCGTAAATATAACTTTTGTACATAGTAACATAATGAAGGCGCAAAAATCGTTAGGATTGCGTCGTATTTGCACACATTCGCGTCGATATATTGTACGAAACTAATAATATACGCGCGCACGCGCGCGTGCTCACACACACACGCGCACGGAGATGATCCATCAATACATGTATTACAAGAATTAATGGTTGCTTTGTCGATAAATATACGAGAACTATCGTAGATTTTCTTTTCCTAGAGAAATATGTTCTTTTCTTTATGCGCGAGAGTTCACTCGACTATTTTCGCGTTCTATTACATTATATGTACATGAGAGAGATTAAGATATGTATATTATATTGCGTTACAGCGATATTATTCTGCCATCGTTTCTTCTTGAATACCCGCAAATTCCGCTTAATCCTCCGTCTATTTCTGTTAAATCCGGAAAATTAGATCGAATAACGTACGTGGATTAACGATACTAATCGACGTAAATTGCTCGATGTATTAAATTTTCCAAAATTAATGCGAACTTTGTGAGAGAGTAGTTTTCGTCGTTGTCGAAGTAAATTACGAATTCTACGTGATATACGACCAGAGAGCTTTAGATAGCATGTTTTAAGTATACGGATAATTATATATACATACATATATATATATATATATACATATATATATATACACGAACATTATATTTTGACTCTGTAATATTTGCGTTTCTGTTATGTTTAGTAATAATGATTTATTAACTGTATTTTATCGTGCGTAACGAAGAAAAACGATTATTGTCTCTCACGATTAATAATGGAACATAAGTTTTATGAAAGAGAGAGAGAGAGAGAGAGAGAGAGAGAGAGAGTAAGTGAATGAGTGAGTGAGTGAAAGAGTTTCTAATTTTACATTTATAGTTATAATATTTTATTTGTTGCACAGTTTATTACGTACGTTCGACGAGTCGTCTCCAAACAGTGATGTAATGCATGTATTGAACGGGAAAGGACACGAACACACTCAAAAGAGATATACTGATTGTATTTTCTATTTTCATTCGTTTCTGTACATTGAGGAAGTGTGTGTTACGGTAGAATGAAGAAGAATTAGCTTCTTANATATCTTATATATTATATTCCAGAATGACATTGTCAAACTCAGATTAAACTGAATCGATGAGTAATGAGATAATGAGAAGTGTGAATTGTCGACGTTGATTTCCAGCAATTTGTCTCGTTCAATAATACCGAAAAATTAATCATTTCTGTGTTTGGCATAATGAAGCAGGTGGTACTCGAATGACGGGAATTTTGAATACGTCGATTAGATTAATGGGCTTGATAAAAGTCACTCTCGATATATATATATATATATATATATATATTTGAATGGTTTAAAATTAGAGATTAGTCTTTAATAATAAAATAGTCGTTAATTGCACTGTTAAGAAGCATTTATACCCCTTATATAAACGACTAAGAACTAATTCTGAAGGAATAAAAAAATATTCTAACAGTTTGCAACAGAATGGAAGTTCTGTCTCGATAACCTCCTTCATTGATCTCCCGTGTAAAGCGAACGGTCGACCTTATCCGAAATGACGATATCGAGTCTTTGTTAGTCTGACTGGAATATAAATCCGTGTCCCAATCAAAGAAGAAGCAATTATGAAACATCGGTACGACAAACATCATGATTGTTCTCCTTGTTACGCATTATTTATTACCGATTTTTACCGGACCAACGTGACCGTCGATCCGTTCGTTCAATGACTCTCATTAATGTAACGGTTATTGTCGAAAGACGCAAGATTACTAACCCTGTCGGTCAATCTGTCGTGCAGTGATGTAACAAGGCTGACATTTCTCACATCCAAGATTGAATGACCGATCATACTCCTTTCTAAAGTCGTGATCTATTTATTATTATTACAGCCCCTCATTGCAAGCAGACGCCGGTGAAAAGGGCACGGCTGTTGATGCGGCAGCCGCGAGTGAAGAAGGAGCCGAGTCACCTGTCGCCAGACAGCGAGACTACCACGACGGGTTCGCCGCACATCGTCTCGTCCTCCGTGGCCACGCCGACGTTGAATCTCCCTCAGACGTCGAGGAGCTGGGAGGAGTCGCGCATATCGCCGCCGCACACCATGCTGATGAATCAGCCGAATCTGCTGACGACGTCGACGAACCTGTTGACGGTGCCGCAACCGTCCTACCTGACCAAGCAACATTCGCACCCGCTGCTCACTAGCCAACAGCAGAGCACGTCCGGCAATTACTGGATACACCGGCAGCACTCGAATCCGGAGTTCCCTGGCAGAACCACGAGTCCCTCGATAGTGGTGGAGCCGGCACCGGTCGTCAAGACGGAGGAAGAGGCAGGCGAGGAAACACCGGCGACTCCCGTCTTGGAGCCAGGAAACGCTACGTCCGGGGATAGCAGCAGCGGAGGATTGAGGGTCAAGACGACAGAGTTGAGACGAAGCTCGTCGTCGCCGCAGGTAAAGTTCCGATCCACATTCAGGATGACGAGAATGAAAAGGAAAGAAAGTTTCAATATCCGTGAAATTAACGCGACTTCTTTCGCGCTCGTAGACCAGCAGCGGCAGCAGCAGAGAGCCACGCGAGAACACTGGCGACAAACGATTGGGCCACTGTCCGGTGCTACGCGAAGGGCCACCCTTAGGCTGCAATCATTGTTGGAACACGATAGACGCCCACGGCAGAATACTCCGCAGGAAGACCAAGTATCACTGTCCCGAGTGCCAGATCAATCTCTGCATCGTGCCGTGCTTTCAGGAGTACCACGAGCAACGGCGCGATCTGATCTCCAAACTGAAACCCTTACCGAAAACCAGCTCTGTCTAATCTCTCCTTATTTATTGCGTACCTCTTTCTCTCTATCTACGTACTTTGTTTTTATAGATGATTGTTATCCGGGCGATTGATGTGTAAGCGCGCGTTTTTAAGTGTCCGAGGACTGTCGCGCGCGCGCGCGCGGTGACACCAAGCCGATATTATCGGTGTGTGTGTATGTACACGTGATGTTTATTTCTCCCCCTCTCTCGTACCACGATGAATGTAAGTTTTACCGAATTTGTATCGACAAAAATCAACAAAAGGTAGGATCCATTTCATATTGCAAATTTCTTCGAAATACTGTATGAACCAATCATGTTCTTTCTTTTTTTAAGCACTTCAAAGCGTTTACAGCTTCAAGTGGGTCGTAGAGACCTGATGATGATGTTTTCTATGAGGGACTTGTCTCTTGTCTCGAAATTATACGGGGATAGTGATATTTTTTTAACGTCGATAAACATCGAGAAATCAATTTCTCCTACGATTTTATAACATTTATGATGAGAAGCGCGTCAAGTACGTAAGATGAAGTACATTATTTGAAAAAAAAAAAATCCAAGAATACATATAATTATTACGTAACGGTTCTTTATTATTACGATTATTATAATCATTATTTTTGAAATGCTTTTTATTCTCGTATCAATGATCCTCATATCATCACATGATTGCACGATCCCTCCTATTCTGTGTCTCCTTCTCTCTTTCATGTACAAAAAAGCATCGAGATAATAATTTTTCTCGACGGCGACATTGCAAACACTAATTTTCGAGGTCATGAATCGCGAGATGCAATTGCAATTGTGAAAGAAGGAAAGGAAAAATAGAGAGGAGAGAAGAGCAGGCACGGCCTGGCCGCCGAAGCGAGAGCCCACGCACGTGCAACGATCGGTGTTACCCTTATAAATCACTTCCTACTATTCACGGCACTCCCCGCTCCCGTTAATACGTCCGCGTGTAAATTTGTCGCGTTCGTATCGCGATCAATCGAACGCGAGCCTCTTTCTCCCCCTCCCTCCCTGTCACTTTTATCTTAATACGAGAATTTGGGATTTAAGAAAGAAATAAAGAGTAAAGTACAAGTGAGAAATTCACTACGGCGTTGTGTGTGTACGTATGCGTGCGTGCGTGTGTGTGTGTGTGTGTGTGTGTGTGTGCGCGCGCGCGTCGGTTCTTCTATTTAAAATAACTCTTCGACAAGTTTTTGACCAACGAGAGGAAATCTGCTGAAGAGGGAGAAAAAAAAAATCTGATAACGGCAAGCGACATTTGTTAGATCGCGCTTTCTCTCTTTTCTTTCTGTTCAACTTGTGTTTCTCCGCTTTCCAGCAGCTTTTATTTTTTTATCGAAGGAGAAATGTATATCGTTGAAACGTTTTCCCGCTTGAATCGGACTTCGATCAGGCTTCGATTTTTCGATGGAAACGCCGCGGAATTCTCTGTCGAGATATTTTCGGCTTGTACTGTGTTAATTTGTCGCGCCGCCGCCGTTTCCGTCTCTCCAGACCCATCGGGACACTTTTCGACGACGAATATTTTTGTGTCTCGTGCATTTATCCGCCGGAAAGGCAAGACGAGACACATTACGAACGACAATAGAAGTGAGTGAGGAAACTCTCTTTTTTTCTTGGCGTGTCGTAGAATCGCATCGTTCCAGCCTGATAAATCCTTAGAGCATATACTACTGGAGGGAGCGTGCCTTATGCTGCCCGTGTTATAATAATGTGGTCAGGGTGCGAGAGAGAAAAGTAGATTAGAGGTGACAGCTATCTCTCTCTTACTGAACGCTCATTGGTCGATTCCAACTCCCCACTTTTGAGAGATTGTAACGTATAAATGTATACGAAATAACATTATAAAACATCTATAAATAAATAATACATTCCTAATTATGAATTAAAAAGTAATCATAGTATCAAAACATTAAATTAAGACAGAACAAACATATGAACTTTTTTTTAAAATCCAATCTTCAAAGTTATCTTTTATTGCATCGCACCATTTATTGTTAATAACTTCATCTGATGGAAATCTAAAGAAAAAAAATTATAAAAATTATTGATACCAAAACTGAAAACGAAAACGTTCACTTAACCTACACAACTTCATTTTTAATAGACTTACTTATGAAAACATAAATCCAAACAGTCAGGATCGTCTTGTCTCGTACGACAATTTGGGATGCAACAAATTTTTGACATTGTAATAATTTCAATCAAACAGCACTATTTACACATACTTAAATATTCAAATATAATAAACGCGTCAAAATGATACAGACTAGCAGACGAGCTGACAAGTTGGGCGGCAATTGAACTTTCGTATAGGCCTTTCTCCTTCTAAGCAAACAACCATGAGCGTTCAGTAAGAGAGAGATAGCTGTCACCTCTAATCTACCTTTCTCTCTCGCACCCTGACCACACTTTTATCGAGACGTGCTACCTCCAGTAGTATATGCTCTAAGGATAAATCACGATTTGTCGCCAGGCTATCGTCGACTCTCCCTCGCCCGGCCGCGACACCTACGTTTCTCCCCTTCTTCCCTTGGTATTTCCTCGCGAGCGACACCGAGCACGTTCGCGCACTTTTACATGTAAAGTGTCGAAAATGTAGAAGAAGAAGAAGGAACAAAAAAGAAGAAAAACAAGAAGTACGTGCAATATATTTTTCTCGGCATTACAGATATACTATATGCAAGCGTTGTATCGATTAATCATATTTTGTGTAAAATCTAGCCTGAGATTCATAAGTTAAAAATAAAACAATGTGAGATCAACACACACAGATCGACGACGAGAATCGTACGAACGCTTCCCGACATCCTAGCGTTTTCCCTCCGCGGGAGGAGGAATTGTCATCTTCTTGTTTTGCAGGGGCCGAGAAATATTTCCGTTCAACTGCGAAAGATCCTCGGGACACCTTCCCTTAGAAACATATGACATGTGGGATCTTTTTCTGTACGAATAGCGAATATTGAACGCTTCGAGACGATATTTTGAAGTCTGCTGCTAAACCTTTAATTCCACAATATAGCAGGAGGTACGACTGCAAAGTATATTCAATTTCAATTCTAATAATATAATTTACTCCTACTCTGATCCCGATGTCTTAAATTCTCGTTCTAACGTCAAAATAGGTTGTTGAAAGTAGTATTGAAATTAAATCTGTAGAATTAAAGCAGTGTTAAAAATAAGCAGCATCGTTTTAAGAACATTAAATTCTACGACCTTCAGTTAAATGCTACGGACTCATGTCATTACAACCGTTGTAGAACAACAGAAGTTAACGCAAAAGACCGTCGATGACGAAGATGATGGAAGAAAGAGGGCGAATCCTCTCGCTCGCAATAAATCCGCGAATGAGGGCTGACTTTTTCCGCTTGCCCTCCCCGTCTTCGTCGTGGCGCGGCCATCCGCGTATATGGGGTCAGCCGTTTCTTCTGCGCGCAAGCTGACGCCACCACCGTCGTCGTCGTAGTGTAGCAGTAATCCCTCGCGGCATAACGCGCGACGGAAAAGAGGAGTCGTCATCTTGGATCCCCAAAAGCCACGAGCGATATTGTACGCGCAGCCGGTGCCCCGGTCGACAGCTGGACCCCTCGTCTCCTCTGCGCCGAGAAACGAAAAGTCACGGGAGCGCTCCGGATTAATCGCCGGCAACCCCCGATACGAACGGGCCTCACGTGGCCACTCGTGGGTGGTCGATCTCTCGTTAAGGGCGAGAGGACATTAAGCGATCCAAATTTGCAGAATGGTTACTACACGTTCGCATTTCGCAAGCGAATCTTCTTTCTGCATGTTTTTGTTTTCTCAAGCGACGAAATAATCTGCAGTAGTTTTTTTTATTTTCGTCCTTTTATATTTTTATCTGTGTTGTTATCCTGACAATTTTATCAAAGTTTCGGGAGGAAGATATTATTCATTTTTCGATGATTTCACCCTTAATATTTTAATACACCGAATGAACAGAGGAATCGATTTGTGTTAACAAAATTATAAAATTCCATTGAAAAAAATGAAGTCGACCTTCATGTGACTTTGGCGCTGCTGCATGGAAGAAAAATCGGATGACAAGAAGCCTCTTCAAAGTCACTTGACTTTCGTCTGAAAATTTTCTCTGTAAAATCGATATTTATTGCGAGAAAATTGGAGAGAAATGACGATATACACATCTGAAGCGCGCATCACATCAAAAGCAACGGTCCAGCGAAAGCGAAAGCTCGTAGGTCGATAGACCAGATCGAAGTAAAAGCGTGCCAGACTAATAAACGGGGCGAATAACGAAACGAACCCGCGCGCGAAATCTCACGATCCGACAATACCCTCTATCTGAAGGTGAGCCGCTTTTTGTTTGTACGGCATGAGTCGCAAAGTTCGTGAGCGATTAGTTAAGAGGATTGCGCGGAAATTACTTAATGCCCTTTTAAGTCACATTTAATTCTCCCTATGCCCCGCGCATAATCATATTATGCGCAGCGAAAGGCTCGTGCATCTCCCTCCCTCCTTTCCCCCCGTTCATATCGTGTTGTTCTTCCGTGTGTAGATGCAGGGCGGAAACTCGCGATTGCATTGTGATGCGATGTACCGTGGAAAAGAGGGGCCGAAATAAACGCGACGTCGCTAATTTATCGTGTAGAAAGAAGGAGGAAAGGAAGAAGAGGGAGGGAGGGAGAGAGAGAGAGAGAGAGAGAATAACTCGTACAAAAATAATGTATAAATTAAACACTGTTCTCTCGACACAGAGAGTACCGTGAAAGAGACAATAAAGGACGAGTAAGAGAGGCGCGCGATGAAGATACTAATAATTTGTCGGAATAATGCGAGCACTTTGCGAAAGCGCGAATATAAACAAGAGGTAGGCTCTGGGCGACAATTATGTCGACGCTGGCAATTAGCAGGTCTACCTGTGAAACAAAAGGGTGTCTCGTGAGAAATGGAGAAATATCACGCACCACGGACTGTTCTTTATTTTCAAGGAAATAACGACGCCAAGTATCTGCTGGATATGATAAATGTAAATTGTAAATTTCAGTAAAACGGCGCTGTTCTCAAAAATACGATAAATTTCGTATATTTCGTCATTATTGTTAATACTTTAGTAGCACAATTCATTGGCGATATATCGGCATTATTGGAGGTACATTGGATAGAACGTTGCCCAATATAAAGTCAGCCAACAAACCTAGAAAAGCTGATTTTGCACAGTGTCCGTTTGAAATTTTGTCGACTGGCAGAAATATAATAGAATTTGCTAACAGAACTCGATAATAAATTAATCTGTTGTCATGCTCTACTAATAAATCTTGTTATATTTCTGCCAGCAAGCTGTCGGAGAAATTTATAGCAGATACTACGTAAAATCTGCTTTTACAGTCGGTTGTCTGGCTCTATATTGGCCAATATTGTAGCAATGTATCGTTAATGAATTATGCTACTAGGGTATCCTTTTATGTATTATATGATCATCATCGGAATCTCATATCGAAAATAATATCTCGAATACAAGGACTAATGTGAAAAAGTCACAGTCTTACCCTGAGAGAGTGTCGCCGCGATGACGATAATGAGGCGTCTAATAGATCAATCGAGGCTGCCCTCTTGCATAATGGAGAGCATCAAATCTCTGCACGCAGGTGGAAACGCAGTGTAGCAACAACGGCACAGCGAATTGCTGAAGCAGCCGGATCATGAATAAATGTTATCCTTTATAAAGGACACTTAATTTACGCGAAACATTAACATTGAATGAACTTTATCTGTATTCAGAAGTTCAGGCCAGAAGTTGGCGTTTAAGTAAGATAAGGTTAAAGGTTATTGTTCGAAGAACAGTAAAAGAGGCTTCGCCGACAGCGAGCGAAGCCATGCGAGTCTTCCGTCAGCCCCGCCCTCGGCGCTTTTGATATTCCACCTCCGATCGGCTGACATGCGCTCTGAGGATATTTGATAAGGGTGCTCAACCGTCCATCCGTCTGTCCGTCCGTCCGCGAGATTGTGCATATGCATGAAAATATATGTTTTTTAGGATCGCTCTCTCGAGATCGCTGATCCGCGATCTATAATATTTCGGACACGTCTCAGCCAATTACCACATCGTACGTTATTGAAAGATTCTCATTCTTTGTCTGAAACTTAAAATTAAACTGAGATACATCTTCGTTCCGTGGTTAAAATGATTTTTTACTTGACGAAGATTTGAAGAAGAGAATGTTCGATGTTCAAGTATCTTCTAAATCTTCAGTTTTACTTTTTTTAGTGTTAAATGGAGGATTTTTAATATTAAAGATAAATGTTAATTCGACGTGGATTCATCGCGTACGTTTGCCCGGATAAATGTTAATTCGATGAGGCTATATATGATATTTCTTCTTAAATTTTATCAATGTTCGAAATATCCAATTTTTTTGTCAACGTCTGTAATCACGAAGGAGCGGTTTTGCGGTATTGGTTCTCTTCCGTTTCTTTACTTTTCACTTCGACCAACATGAATGTACTTTTGCACGCTCAAAATTGCTGAAAGTGGACTCGAAAAATATACCGATCGATTAGGGTAGACAACGGATTTGCTTTAATTTACACGTTTGTTATTATCCGCGTATCGGCTATATATTTTCTTTCGTCTCGGCGAATGATATCGGAAATAGCCGCGATAAAATTGCAGGCGATAAGTCATGCGGTAATATCTCCGCGAGTCAATAAATCAATTGCTCGTGACTCTCTTTGAGCGGAACATTAGGAATCTCCAAAGCGTCGTGTGGACACAGCTGACGAGTCGCGGCGATTAGCCCAATACTAACGCATTATTACACACAGTTTTAATATTGACATTACTATCGATTAGCCGTACCAGCTCGTCAAATCCGCATATACCCACGTCTACACGTCCGAGTGTGCACGTGTTCGTATTTTCGTCGTCGTCGACCGCAAGTCTCCGTGGCGTGATTAATGTCGAGGTGAACATTTTTTTCTCGTCGGGAACGTCGAGCGATCGATTTGAATGTATAATCAAAGGGAACGACATGACGCGGAAAATAACCGGACGGTCGATCGTTATCACTCGCGATCGCCTCGAATTACTTGGTCATTTTCACGTGGTTCTTCAAAATTTCGTTACTTTTCCCGAGCCGAGCTTTTTACGGCCACTTTGACGCTCTTAAAGTAATTAAAGTCCGTAAAGTACCAGATTTTCAGTAATGATATTAAGGGAACCCTTCAGTTTACCCTAAGTTTACTGAATAAAAATATTTTCCTATAATTTTATTTAAATATCTAAGTAATAAATGTTATTTATTACTTAGATATGTAAATAAAATTATAGGAAAATTTATATTCGGATTTATCGCGCTATTAAAATGCGATTTGCATTAGATGTGCGGCTAACGCGAACAGGTACTTGGCATCGTCACCCTTTGCTTGCCTCATTGAGGAGATAGAGAAAGAGACGCACCAGGACCTATTCGTAACGCATCGTCGAGCCTATAGAAATAAATCCTACTCTCACGGATTCTATACAATACGTATATGGTGCGTTCTTCGCACGAGTGATCTGCCATTACTACCATTCATACAGGAGGCCTCTCTATGTTTGACCACAAACTGTTTTAATCCCACTGTTACTCCTATTTGCGTTTTCAAATCAACGGACGGTCGTGTGTGAGTACGCGTATATATGTGAAAACGCACATTCGTTATGCGTGTATTTATGACGGTGAGTAGCAATTGGATGGTCAATTGGCCGAAAAATACTTCTCAAATCATAAAA